AGAGTGAGGGAGGAGTTAGGCGGACATCAGAATGTTGAAGGCATAAGAGTATCATTTAAGTGAAAGTCTCCCGAATGAGACCTGAGGGAGAGAAGGGAAGTGATCTAGGCTAGTCTCGTTAGAAAGCTAGGAAATGTTCGTTGATTAGTACGGATCGCCAATGTTTCCAAAGGACACCATCATCTTGTTGTTGAAAATTTTCTTGGATACACCACCCTCCCCCGCCAACATTTACTTCCTTGGTACAACTCCCCTTCACAACCCACCTTATTCCCAATCAATTTGAAAATTTGGTGAGGGTGGGATTGACGCCGCCAATCAGTTATCAAAAATAGTAGTTTGGTGCATAAGCAACTAGGGAGGGGGGGGGGTACTTGTTACCTATTAAGTACTCAAGAAGCACTATATGAGACGGTCACGAAAAACATATCAGGATGGGTGTCTAACAAAACAGTGAACCATGAGAGAAAGTAACGTAACTTGTAACCCGTGGCAGGTAACAGGAGCTTTTATAGTCGTATCTAACAATCAAAAAACAATCAATGTGCGTGGAGGATTTCCCGGTAGTGTTGAAAAACCGCCGGTCAACGTGCATGCATTTCGCAGAAGTGGCTTTGGGCGGTAGTGAGATGGAGGAAGACGAGGGCGGCGCCGTTGGCGTGGTTCGTGGAACTCAGCGTATCTTTAGCGCAGTTGTTCCTAGGAATCGCAGAGAAACGCAGGCATTACACGCTAGTATATAAAGTCGCCTCCAGCTGGACAACACCCTAGTCGTTTAGGTGCGGAGTCGTTTCCTTCCATTTCTCATTCTTCATTGTTTTGAATTACATCTCCTTCATGTATCACTTAGGTTAGGCGTAGGTACATGCATTTACTTGTATGAACTCTGCAATAGCACTCGATCCAGCTCTTATCAACTGAGATACTCTGATACTATCAACAACAGAAAGAATCATTCATTGCTTGCATTCACGACAGTTAGTCGACTACTTACAGTTGGTTTATAAAGTCTTAGTATTTGAAATTTTTCTCACCCTTTGAATACCTCGCTATGATCTCGGAAAGCCTGGCCTATACCTTTTTACGAGATTTTATCTCCTTTATTCCAGCTAGCCAGAATGTGTGACGACGAGGTTGCTGCTCTTGTGGTAGACAATGGATCCGGAATGTGCAAAGCCGGATTTGCCGGAGATGACGCTCCTCGAGCTGTCTTCCCCTCCATCGTCGGCCGACCCCGTCACCAGGGTGTCATGGTTGGTATGGGACAGAAGGACTCGTACGTAGGAGACGAGGCTCAGTCAAAGAGAGGTTGGTGACGCAATGTCGATTCAAGATAGGAGAGTGGCTGATGAATTCCCCTATTTCAGGTATCCTTACCTTGAAGTACCCCATTGAGCACGGTATCGTCACCAACTGGGATGACATGGAGAAGATCTGGCACCACACCTTCTACAATGAGCTTCGTGTTGCCCCAGAAGAGCACCCCGTCCTCCTGACTGAAGCTCCTCTTAACCCCAAGGCCAACAGAGAAAAGATGACCCAGATCATGTTCGAGACCTTCAACACCCCCGCCATGTACGTCGCTATCCAGGCTGTGCTCTCCCTCTACGCTTCCGGACGTACCTGAGTCCGTCTCGTCTCGAGATGGTGTCCACCGCAAGGAGCAGGCTGTCCACATCTATGAGGTAAGAGCTTCTGGGACTAGTGGATGTTTGGTGTAGCAGAAAAGAGAATTCTTCCCTTCAGGGTTATGCCCTTCCCCACGCCATTCTCCGTCTTGATCTTGCCGGACGTGATCTTACTGATTACTTGATGAAGATCCTCACTGAGCGTGGTTACTCGTTCACAACCACGGCCGAGCGTGAAATTGTCAGAGATATCAAGGTACGAAACTGTTGGGATGCCATCTTAAATGAACCGGACTAGTAACTCGGAATCGTTCAGGGAGAAGCTCTGCTACGTCGCCCTCGACTTCGAACAAGAGATGGCTACCGCCGCCTCATCCTCATCTCTCGAGAAGTCCTATGAACTTCCTGACGGTCAAGTCATCACTGTCGGTAACGAGCGATTCCGTTGCCCCGAAGCCATGTTCCAGGTCACTTATTTCACTTTAGAGCTATCGGCCATGTTCCTCGTCCCGCACACTCAAAATGAATTTTTCAGCCTTCCTTCATAGGTATGGAATCTGCTGGTATCCATGAGAACTCATACAATTCAATTATGAAGTGCGATATCGATATCCGTAAGGACTTGTACGCCAACACTGTCCTCTCCGGCGGTAGCACAATGTACCCTGGAATCGCCGATCGTATGCAGAAGGAAATGACCGCCCTTGCCCCCAGGTAAAACCGCCTCATTCTTTCTCAGATTACCACACAATAGACTGCTTCATCGTTTCAAATCTTTTTTCAAATGTGCCTTTTTCAGCACCATGAAGATCAAGATCATCGCTCCCCCTGAGCGCAAATACTCAGTATGGATCGGAGGATCCATCCTCGCCTCCCTCTCCACCTTCCAACAGATGTGGATCTCCAAGCAAGAATACGACGAGTCCGGCCCATCCATTGTTCACCGCAAATGCTTCTAAATTCCTCCGATACATGAACAATTCAACGATAATTGTTTTGAGGTGTTTAGTGTGTATATGCTCAATATGTTCGGGTTCGAATGAAAAGTTTTTTGTCCGAACACAAATTTTTGTGCACATAAAGGTGGAAATGGTCGTCGATTGTTTGCAAATCCGACACGGCTATTTGCAGTGATTTCTGGAACCCATAGAGATGTACGCTCTCAACTCTGCGTTCACTCTTCTTTTTGCGTGGGGCGAGGTTGGCGAAGTGTAATAGTGGGGATTCCGAGTACGACGTGCTCTGCTCCCTCGCTATTACACCAAATGTTACGCATTAATTATGGCAGCGCCGATTCACGAAAGCTGCCGCTACACTTACACAATGGATTCAAACTAAAAATACTTTGAAGTGCGAAGGAACACCTGCAGCGACCAGCGTGGATCAGTAAAGATATACAGAATATAAGCAGACGCTATTCCTGTTCACCATAAAGCGGAATACCAGTGCAGTAAAAACTAGAATGCTGTATTCTAGCATGGGCACGAGAATATCAGCTATACAGCTGGGCAAAGAAGGCTGCCTGAGTGTGCACCAATCTCAATCTTTGAATCTGAAGAATACGTTAAACCGATGTGCCTGGAACTTCAGAATAATAGTTGTAGGATCCAGTTCTGAAAAACAAAT